TCATATGACTTCAGCTAACTTTTCGAACATGGAAAGTCTTTGATAGAAAATATATCGCTGTATTACAGCAGCAAGTATAATAATTTTTATTTAATTAAATATTCGACGTTTCAGTTACTAATATAGCAATTATCAAGAATATACAAATGATTTCTGTACAACAGAATTATAAAATGGAATGAAATGAGTTAGAATGTTGAGCGAACGACTCATCCAAAGTGTCAGGATAATAGATATTATCAATAGAAAACTTTGTTATGGTAGTGTTTGATGAGAAGGCGTAATTAAGACAGAGAGAGTACTGCAGAGATCCTTAACTTTTTTGGAGCTGAACTTGAGCTCTCCTAAAACTACCACTTGTTCATCAGATTTTACATCTGAGAGAATAAACTGATCTAGCAGCTCAAAATATTCTGTAATTTGTTCAGAATTTGAAGATGCAACACGGTAAGAGTTAAAAATAACAGCAGGATTAATAGAACGGGGATGAGAAATAGCAACGATCTCAAGTTCAACTGGCTTTTGGAATAAATGATGTTTTATACCGGTTCTTACATATGTAATAATACGTTAAATTCAGATTGTAATGCTACGAGACATTTATTAAATCATCTTATTAATACTTTATACTCATTTGAAAAACTTGAAAAAAGTTCAAGTGATGGCAAAGTTTCTGGTACAATACAATTTGCATTATCAACAATGACAGTTATTGATAATCATACGTTAAAACTTTATGGCTCACATTATTGTAAATCGAAAATGTGTACTGCTAAACAACGAGAAGGATTTACAGCTCAAAAAGCATATTTGTCAAAAAACAGAACCGTAAGAACAGCCATATAAACGCGATAGACCAATATCTGATAATAACAACTCATTTTGAACACAAGTGCACATGAACACAATATTCGTATACTTTATTTTTTGATGTTAGTAAAATCGCTTGTCTTTCTAAAGAGTGACTATTCTGAAATTCTAAAATGGAAATGATTGCTGTCACATACCTTCTGAAATAAAGATTAATGTATACTTTTGTATATAAAGCAGTGCATGAATATGTCCTGTATAGAATATAGTTCAGCTTTATAATGGTGTCAGATTGTGTAATAGCTCACAGAACAGAAAAATTTTCTGTTTTGTATAACCACCGCATTTTCTCTTTCTGTAAAAATAAGAGAAAAAGAAAGGAGAGAGAATGACATTGATCTAATTATATCTAAGCGTAGAAAAATATATTCTAAGCATAGATTTTTGACGCGTATAATGTAGTATAAACTTTTTCGTATGTGTCGTATAAAGCTTTTTTTGTAAAAATGCGCATGTTTCTCCAAATTTTATTAGTTTCTCTCACTTTTTTAAATCTTTCTCAAACAAAAGCATGGTAAATATCAGTTGTGTATTATATAATACATAGGAGAAAATTCTTTGGTACTACATCTGTCACAGAGATTTTAAACAGAAAATTTTCAGCAAAAAATTAAAACGAGACGGAAAGCTTAAGTGAAATTCTTGGATCTGAGAGAAGAATGGTGACTTATTTTGTCAGACTGAGAGCAAAAACTCTGCTCCTCCTTCTCGCACTATTAAAATCTTGAAAAGAACTTGCTATATACCGATTCCACGAAATAAAATTTAGTCGCCACCGCCGATCGAGAGAAACTTTGTCTCAGTCGTTGCCGATGAACCAGTTGGCACACAGGTCTACCGAAACAAAAATGCTCTACAGAGAAAATCTAGTTCCATCGACTACATAATCGGGCGGTTAATCATGTAAGTGTACCAAGTGAAGCAGCCCTTTTCATTACCAGTTATATTTAACGAAAAAAATCGCTATGCATTAGCTCCAAAAACAATGAAATATTCAGTGTTTTTAAAAAACAAATTTTAACGTTTCTGTGTTTATTGATGTTGTGTTCCATAGCCTTATCGATAATAAAATGCGTAAATTATGTATAGGTGTTTCAGCTGTACACTAAAATAGCACTTCTTTCAAAAAACGAACACTAATTACAAACACGATTGATATAAAATAAAGCTCACGTTCGCATCGGGATGTTCATGATCAAGGAACGAAACGTGAACTTTTACAGGCCTACATGCGATTAAGCAATTTATATATATGAGACAAATGTAAAAAGAAAAAATATAAATGTACATAAGAGACGAACACACTAGAGATATTACAGTAGTACGGATCAGCGACAAGTTCTATTTTGATGATAAAAATAGGGGCAGCAGATTCAAGTGTTAATATGGAAGAAGAATACTTTTATGTGACATGGTTCTTCGAAACAGATTTTGATAGTTCCTTCCGAATTAACATCTGGGTCAAAATCTCAAAAAAAATATATTGTTCAAATATAATGTTCAAATTTTTCGGTATTATCGTGTTTCTTTACTTCATAGTTATATTATCAATGCTGATGCGTGTAAGTAGGATTCGAATGTTTTTTCGGATATTAAGCTTTCTAAAATAGTGTATCGGTTGAGCCAGCTGCGAACGTTCATTATACAACCATCTTCGTTTTGGGATTTTTCTGTAACATTATCATAGTTGATTTCAAGATACATCAAATGCGTGATGTGAGTTAGACACAGATTCATCATTGTACCAAGCTCGTGAAAATCATGGTCCTCGAGACATCTCAGTGACAACGATGTTAATAAGGGTACATAATATGCGATTTCGAGTATATGCATTTCATTCCAATCGCTAATATTGCATCGAATATCAAACTCCTTTACTTGTTTTAGAAGCATTCCAAGACAGTGAAAAAAAATCTTATCTTGGTGGCCATATGAACCTCTATCACTAAATATCAGAATTGAACTCAAGTTCGGAGCTCGAGGAGACAGTTGTTTAATAAAATTTTGGAGAAATGGATCTTTCAGCCTGGAAGACTCATCACTTTCGCTCGGTCAATCAAGACTTGTGTCGTCAAGAACTATTACAAACACTGCCAGAGAATGGCGTGTATGTGGACTGGACCATGGAGTATAGCGGAGGTACATGAAGGCGATATCGGAAAAAGAGACTATACTTTTCTTGTCCCATTCAAGGCGGACCATATCTGCAGCTTTGCAAGCATTTTCTCGCAGTACTCACCAAATTAGAAAGATTTCTTTCACTTTGACGTTTCTACCGTCTGCATCAGATACAAAGAACGATTCTTGTCTACAAAAACACTACACGCTGACAGCATTATAAAATTAATCGATTCTCTGCATCGAAACCACTTTCTGCCTATCAAGAAACTCTCGATTGCGCAATAGCTATGATTCATCAATCAGCTCTAACTTCATGTGAATTACAGAACAGATAAAAAAGTATAGTTCGTTGTGTTCTCTCTTATAATTATGTGCATGGATCGCAAGGGCTTTTTTTGTTTCTTTTTCCTCTCACGTCTATTGACAGGAAAGTAGAAGTCACGTTTTTGCTTATCAAAGGCGTAGAAAACAAGAATAAAAAAGTATGATTCTCCTGCTTGTAAACGAAGTTTTTGTAAATAAATAAGAACATACAGAATAATATACGTTTAGAACTTGGTGATAATAGCTCGTGTAGGGGACACGTCACCTTCGCCGTCGAAACATTTGCTTTTTCGTCTTTAATTGATTCGATAGCCAGATCTATATTGTACAGAAAATGCTTCGCGGTGGTAGAAGAGGCAGAAGAAGAGGAGGAAAATACACATTTCGACCAATAAACGCAAGTCAAACTGGAACACCGACAGATACCACCAATCGGGGTAAGTTTTGCACTTGGTAGACGATGAGTAACTTAACCTGACCGGCAATTCTTGCCTTTAACTATCCTTTAGCGAATGGTTCACTCATTTTCTACCGATCTACTTCAGCAAGTGGTGATGATGAGAGTGATAAACATGTTGTACGTACTGTATTTCTTCGACAAATATGTGTAAATAGTTGTTCAAGTTCACTGAACGAACAAGATTTGCGACAATATTTTGACTTTTATGGTACAATTGTCAATTTTCATCTGATGAAAGAAAACGGAAGTGCACTTGTCGAATACAGTCAGTAAGTTTGATTCTACTGGAGTTTCAAAAAACACTTTAGGGCTTTGTTTTTCTAAACTGTTAGATCCGATCCGATACCTAAAATACTTTTGGATCGACCGCATAAAATCAAACAGATTAGTATTGACGTACGAAAGGGAGGAAGAGGTGCCATTGCACCATCAAGTCCACAAGGAGAAGACGATGTAAAGCATAATTATATGAACCATGAAAAGGCTACTGGTCAAAATGATACTACTTTTAAACACCAATCAAGAACTATCGGTTCTAATGGAAATTGCAATATCCTCAGTAGTATTACAACTCGAACTCGCAATCGCTCACGATTAGTTTCTAAGTTGCGTGGTGACGCACGTGGTACAACAGGTAAGAATTACGGTTTTTAAGGCGCCGCAAATTCGAAGTTCATACACTAATTTTTTTGGTCTAAACACGTATCGTTGGATAGATCAAAAGCAAAGGTTCAAGAATATCACCTTTTTTGACTCTCTAGTGCACTTCTTTATAGAGAAAAGTTCACAACATTGAGAGGGGCAATTTTTACGAAAAATTGCTACTTCTGGAAAAAAATTCAATACCTTCGTCCATGAGCATTGCAGTACCTGAGGAAGATATTTTTGGGATTTACCGATGGAAATTGATTATAGAACACTATCTTTTAAAACTCCAACTCAAAAGTGTAATTTTGGGTGAGATTTTGAAATGATAGGAGAAATCATCTTGCAAACTTGTCTGTTTTTTTCTGTGAAGAGAAAGAACGTTCATTCTTATACTATTCGAACCAGAATTAACATGTGCTTCAACAATACGAAGAGCTTTTTCGAAATTCCTTTTCGTTCTCTCGAGATATTTAATTATTATCAAAAGTGAGGCGATTATGTCCGAAATCAGCCAGCAGATTTGCAAACAGAAACGCTGACACTTCCGTTTTTTCGCCGAAAAAGGTCATTTTTTGAAAACTGGATTTCTTTAAACAATATCTAGATTGATAGGGCATTAAATTCAGACCAAAATGAGACCCTTTCAAGCTATCCCTGTCCCTGTGAGACCTCGCAGCGATCAGAAAACCAGTTAGAAGGTTCTTCAACGTCACAAAATGTTCAGCAGGGTCTGAATTTGATCAGAATTCAATTTCCTAACGATCTAGTCATTTTTAAAAAAATTCGTTTTTTAAAAGCTTTCCTGCAGACTACGTTTTCCAGATAACCACGTGGAAAGTTTTTAAGTATCTGAAAATACTTGCAGCGGATAATTGGTCATATTTTTGGATAAAAACCGACTTTTCACGCTTGTTTTGATAAAAATATCAGTTTTGTGAGCAAATCAAGCACCCGAGTTTGATCAGAACCGCCTAATTTCTAATGAAACTCGAATACCCCAACGAAACGGAATTTCAAATAAAGCTCTTCGTGCTGCTGAAGTACATTTCAAGTAGAAACTAATGGCATAAAAATGAAGGGTCTATCTTTCAAAAGGACGTAAGTTTGCAAACTGACCTAGTCGCATTATTGACACACTCATTCCAAAATCCTGCCCCAAAAGTCTTCTTTTGAGTTGCAACTTCAAAAGTTCAACTTCACACGGTGAATCCGAAAGCACCTTCTTGAGGTTCTAACATGCTCAGGGACGGAAGTACCGAAGTTTTATGGAAACCTAGCAATTTGTCGGAAGAATAATTCCTCTCAATGTTTTCAACTTTTCTCTATAGAGAAGTGCACTAAAGAAGCTAAGACTAGCATATTCGTGATCCTCAGCTTCGGGGCTATCCAGCTGCGTGTTTTTAAACCAAAAAATGGTGTATGTACTTTGAATTAGCGGCGCCTTACTAAAAACCTTGTCAGTGTAAAGTCTAATGACGCTAAAGTTGAAACTCCCTTTTGTGAGATTTTTGTTTAATTAGCATGAAATATTCACTAAGGATTGTTAAAGAGAATAAAGCAGAAAACAGCAAGCGGGAGTAGACACAAAAACAGAGTACAGATGGTACCAATACGAAGAGGATCTGTCTTTCAAGCCAAGAGATGATGTCTGCAACTGTAAGGGAAGCCGTCAAAACTCGCATCGGTGAATAAATTCACCGGTAATTTGATTGGAAACAAAATTGAGAACAGTATTATTCAATATGCCTGAGAAAAAGAATATGGTATAACAGAATGACGATGTATGTAGTGATGTATGAGATCTCTATATGCCAAAAAATTAAAGAGAGCTTTTTCTAGAAAATAGGATAGTATAGAGTACGAGTTGTGTAAGATGCACCCAGGGCAGCCTTGCAGTGAAATTTATTTTTCGACACTTCATACACCATTCGATAGAGAATTTCGCGGTGATCACGAATATCACTTCCAAGGCTCTCAGAACCCTTTCCTCACTG